TCCCCGGTGTCCCTGTGCCACGAGCATGGGGGGACCAACGTGGCCGTAGAACCGCAATTCCGTGGGATCCACGGTGCCGACGTGGGCTCCACGGGCGTCCCCATCCCCGTGCCCGCACCGAGGGGGCAGGACTGGAGGAGGGAGCTTTGGGGCAGCTTAAACCCATGGCCCAACCACACCTTTAAGCTCCTCCGATGTCCCTGTATCCTGCTGGGACATCAAAATCCTTTGGGGACCTGTGTCCCCACGCTGCCTTCTTCACATCCCTAGGGTGCAAAGCTGCTTCCAGTGGGTCCCGGGCAACTTTTCCCACCGGCCACGCTTATCCCTGCTGATGCCGGGCACCGCGGAGCCACATCCCGCCATTCCCCGCTCCGCTCCCCTGCACGGGTGTCCCCAGGGTCACCCGGTGTCCCCTGCCGGTGCCACCCGCGGCAGCCCCCCATGCCGGCGCCGCCTGGAAAGGAGCCCGTAGGATGGCAGCGCTTAATTAGCAGGTAGGGAGTGGAGCAGGGCGGCTTCGCTCACTCACAGCTTGGAGCCACGCAGTCATCCCAAAGGCATCCGCCCCACAGGGAGGAGCGGCCCCGGCCCAGCATGTAAAAGCGGCGCCGGGCGGCCGGGCTTCCCTGTCGCCTCCTCCGCTCCCGCTCGCCCGCACTGCCCGCACGGCTGCAGGCAGGGCACGGCACCCGCCTGCTCCTGCTCCTGGGTCTCATGCCAGGTAGGCGCCACCGGGCTCCGGCGCTGCACCGAGGGATGCCGAGCGCTCCCGCTCCGGCAGGGATGCTCCCGAGGATGCAGGCGGCTGTGCACAGCCCTAGGGCATCCCTGGGGTGCCAGGATGGGGTTGGCAGGATGGAGATGGAAAAGCAGGACACGGTGTTGGACCTGTCACCTCCACATGGTGCCAATGGCTTGGCTGCCCCGGCGGGTGCCCAGCCCCAGCGGATGCCTAGTCCCGGCAGGACACCCGGACCTCATGGATTTCCCGGCTCCGGTTGATGCCTGTTCCCTGCAGGATGCCCGGCCTGGCGGATGGGTCCCTGTCCCTGCTGCCAGCGGGCCGGGTGCTGGCACGCGGGCTCCGGGTGCCATGGGGACCCGCGCGCTCCCGGCCGGTGACACCGGGGCCTTTCTCTTCCCAGCTCTCCTGCTGGCTGTGAGGATCAACACCAAGGGCCGGGAGGTGCTGTACCTGGCCAAGGGTGACTCCGTGAAGCTGGGCTGCCCCTACGTCCTCGAGCCCGAAGACAACGGTCCCCAGGACCTGGGCATCGAGTGGATCCAGATCACGCCAGAGCGGCCCGGCCCGGAGAACGTGGTGAGTGTCCCGGGTGCTGGAGGGCTCCGCTCGGACCCGGCGCATCCCGCGGAGCCGGTGGCACCTGCACAGGGACCGTGGTCCAGCTGAATCCGCAGCCACAGGCAGGGAAGGAGCAGGCAGGACCAGTCAGGGCCGGGAATGACCAGGCAGGACCGGGAAGGACCGGGAATGACCGGGCAGGACCGGGCAGGTAGAGCAGGATCGGGAAGGGCAGGGAAGGGGCAGACAGAGCAAGACAGGGCCGGGAGCTTTCGGAAGGAGCCGGCAGGGCTGAGCTGCCCATGGAGCAGGAGG